TCGGTCGATGAAGGGGGTGAACCGCGCCATCCTCGATCGCCGTGCAAAGCTCGCTTCCGAGCTCTCACGCCGCGCGTAGGGCCCTTAGGGGCCTAGAGAACACAACCCCCTCTCTCTTTTCTCCCAGTAAGCTAAAAGTACGTACACTGAGAGAGAGAGAAAAAGTGTGGATTTGGGCACTGGGGTGTGGAGGTGAGTGAGTACACACACACACTCACACTCGGGTGTACATCAAGCGCACCAACTTCCATGCACGCCTTCGCCTCGGTGCCCGCGCCTCCGGCGGACGCGGTCGGATCGCAGCGCCTACGTGATCGGCGTCTCACCGGCGCCAACAGGCGCCGCGCCTCCTCCTGGCGGCGCGCTCTCCTCCACCGGCGCGCTCTCCTCCACCGGCGCGCTCTCCTCCGCCGGCGCGCTCTCCTCCGCCGGCGCGCTCTCCTCCGCCGGCGCGCTCTCCTCCGCCGGCGCGCTCTCCTCCGCCGGCGCGCTCTCCTCCGCCGGCGCGCTCTCCTCCGCCGGCGCGCTCTCCTCCGCCGGCGCGCTCTCCTCCGCCGGCGCGCTCTCCTCCGCCGGCGCGCTCTCTGCCCCACCGTGGGTCTGGCGGCCGCGTGGGCGGCGCCTAGATAAAGGACGACTACCCCACCGGCTACGACGAGATGCTCTTGATCTGATCCTCACGGGGATAGCCCGTCTCCTCCAGATCGGAAGATTGCGGCGACCTCGAGCTGTAGGGCACACGACTACATACGCCCGCACCAGGGGGCGAGGGCCCGGGAACGGACAGGGGCCCGCGGTACCAAACATCGTCGGTGGGTGCCTGGCCGCGCTGCAGGTGCACAGCGCGCGCCGAGGGGGGGCACTTGCAAGTCTGCGCAGGGGATCACCCCGCCGCTCCCGGAGAGGCCCGCTCGCATGGCCGTCCCGCATGGCCCGCCGACGTGGCCGCCTCGGAGCTAGCTCCTTGTCGGCTGGTCGGCATGGCTAGCGGAGTGGCTAGCGACATAAGGGGCAGGGAGACGGTGCCCTGCGTGAGGCGAGATCGGGAAATTCGGTGGAAGCCCAGGGACACGCGAACTCGCCAGCCTGACTCAGGCACCTCTCCCCAGAGGGGCGGGGGAGCGGGGTTATACCGAGCCAACCGGGCGTAGCGCGCATGGCCATCTGCCGTGGCCGCCTCGGAGCATGGCCACACCAATGGCTAGCTCCTTGGCGGCTGGGCAGCTTGGCTAGCGGGTAGCTCGGAGGTGTAACGAATTGACACCGGTCGGGGGGAAACCTCTTGAGATTAATTCTAGCCGCCTCGAGAGAGGTTGCCTGGCTTAGTGGGGCGGATCCCTGCGAACCAGTGCACCAGGGTTCTCTTCCCTGGGGCCGTAGTTCTCGGACTAGCACACAGTCCGACCCTGTCCTTCGTGTGTTTTCCACGCTAAGATCTACGTCTGAGGCGCCAGCCGCGACGGCGGCAGGAGGCGAGGCGAGCAGTAGTGCTCCAGGAGGCGAGACGGTCCTCGGGCGGCGCGAGCGAGGGGAGGCGCTCGACGACGAGGCGCCGACCGTGATGGCGGAAGGCGGCGAGGCGAGCAGCAGTGCCCCTCCAGCGGCAAAGAGGAAGAGAGGACAGAAGAAGACGGGAAGGAAAGCCCAAATGGGAGCAGATCAGATCAAAAACGAGCGCGCTAGCGAGAGAGAGGGAGCGTGAACGGTGTGGCGTGAGTCTGGGTGGAGCTTATGTGTTGTCGAGGGGACAACGTCGAGCCGAGTGCGCGCTTGGCGAACGCCCCTCAGGTGCCTGCGCGCCAACCACCCCCGGTGTTTTGACACCATTATTCAGTATATTAACCTCGCGGCCGCCTAGATAGACTGAAAGACTAGACACCGCAGGATCGAGGCCACGGCTACTGCTGCTGCTGCTGCTGCTGCACTGGTTGGGTAGTAGTCTAAGTTCTGAGCCTCGAGGCTGAGCGGGTCTAAGTGTGACTAGTCACGCTGGGGTGCTTACGCGGTCTAAGATCAGCGAGAGCCTCTTACATCGGCTAAGTCGGCCGTGGCACAGCCTGGGGCCAAGAGGCTCCCACCGTGATCAACGATACGGCGCTAGCCCCCAAATTTTCTTCGCCTGCGGCGGGCGCCTTCTAATCCGGATCGATCCTTCTCATGCTCAGCAATCGCCGCCTCAGCATCCTCCTCTTCCGATTCTCGTTGCTCTTCTTGAGCGCAATCTTCAAGCCAAACAGTTCTCACAAATAGCCTCAAGCTCAAACAAACGCATGTCAAGGAAGCCTGTGTATGCTGGTCCTCTTTGAACGATCCGCGCGTGAGGTAGATCTAGCATAGGGCCTTGTTGGCAGCAGCCAGCTTGTTGCGCTGCTTCGTTGCGATGAGCTGATTGGGATCGCAGAAGTGCATGCCAAGCACCGCCACGATCTTGAAGCAGAACACATCGCAACCGCATCGTCCGCACTGCCATCGGCATGCCGCGCCCGCCGCTTCGCCGCAGCCGCCTTAAGACACGCATAGCGGCAGCACATGGTACGGTGCGCGTACTTGAGCAGGAGTTGCGCGCCGCAAGTAGCGCACTGGCCCTGGGACAAGGCGATATGGCGTCGTGCGCGGCATACGTTGGTCGGGACGCGTCCAGGTATTTTTCGGGTAAACCTGGACTTTTGGCGGTATACCCGGGTTTTACCCGGATTTGGCCTTGTGCCGTCTAAGTTCATGGCCCCCGACCATACAGCGTCTAAGTCCGAGCCCGGCTCCGTGCGGGGGCTAAGTTGAGCGCTCGCTCGCTGCAGAGGCTAAGTGTAGAGCGACCCTCTAGCCCTACTACCCAACCATTGCTGCTGCTGCTGCTGCTGCTGCTGCTGCCAGATACGACTTCCCAAACCCGCCGCCCGCCCGCCCGCCCGCCTGCCCGCCAGCCTGCCCGCCTGCCCGCCTGCCCGCCCGCCCGAGCCCACCTCACCCAAGCCGACCCCGCCAGCACATTCAACATCTAGGCGCTCGATACCCCCCCTCGCTGCCTACTCGCTGCCTCGAGGGAGGAGGGGAAGAAGTAGGGTTGAGCCAGCCTCGCCTTCCAACCGAGGCCCCTCCCCGAAAGGCAAGCATTAGACCCATGAAACCGAGACCCCTCCCCCCCCGCCCCGATCCCCCCACCCCCTTGCTCCCCTCCCCCCCCTCGGGAGGGCCGAACTGAGGCGCCCGTGGGGACCCCACAATTCCCTTCCCCCCTCGGAGGGGGCCGGACGGAGGCGTACCCCGTGGGCCCCGCTCTTTCCCTCGCATAGCGGCCACTCTTCGGATCGCTGGTCGAGCGACCCGGGGGATGCCCCGCGCGCCTGACCCAGGCGCGAGAAACGAATCTGCGAGGCGAGGCCGCTCACGCGGCCCGATGGGGAGGAACGGGGCGAGCCCCCTCCAACCCACCCGCGCTAGGTCTCGGGGGACGAAGGGGTCACACCAATCCTCGCAGGATGAGCGGTCTCGTCTGTCGTGTCTGCTTCGAGGAGCTTCCCAGCTCGTGTCCGGACACCGAGGCCGGCACCGGCATGATCCAGCCGTGCCTCTGCTCTGGCTCTGCGCGCCTGGTGCACCGCCGGTGCCTCGACACCTGGAGATCCACAAGGCGCGGTAACGCCTTTACGCACTGCGGGACGTGCAGGTTTCGATACCGGGTGGTCACTCGCAAAGCCAAGCCGATTGAGCTACTGGCCTACCGCTTGACGATAGCGCGAGACATTGCTCTCCTCGCGTCGATCGCCTCGTGCCTAGTTGTGCTGTGCTCCGTGATCGCTGCGTGGCTGTCGCGCGAGGTTGAGGAGCGAGGAGGCACCGACAGCCTCGCCGGCCTGGGCATCGACAGCACCACTGCCCGGCAGCTGACCAGGCTGCTTTTGCCGGGCGCCGGGCTCGATGCGCCAGACGGCGACAGCGCGGCGGCGACCGGCGGGTCGCTGTCGCTGCACAACCCTGCTTGCCCGTGGTCCGTGTGGCTCGGCGCCGGTGCGCTGCTTTTGTGTGCGCTGCTTGGAGTGGCGTCGATCCTCGCTTGGGCGCTCGGCCTGATCCCCGACGACTTTGAGGTGCAGTGGCCTCGGAACTGCCAGTGCTTCGTCTTTGCCGGGCCTCTGGTGCTCCTCGCCGCCGCCGCCCTGTGCGTCTTTGGACTGGTGGTGGGCGTCTCGATCGCAACGCGGCTGCTGCGGCGCGGCTTTGTGCGCCACGCCGAGGTTGCGTGGCTGCGCGACGAGACGAAGCGGCATGTGGTGCAAGACCTGCGAGGCGTAAACCAGGAGCGAGCCGGCTGACTGCGGTCAAACGATTCAAGTCCTCTGCCTTATTGTACTCATCTGAGAGAGAGAGAGAGAGAGAGAGAGAGAGAGAGAGAGAGAGAGAGAGAGAGAGAGAGAGAGAGAGAGAGAGAGAGAGAGAGAGAGAGAGAGAGAGAGAGAGAGAGAGAGAGAGAGAGAGAGAGAGAGAGAGAGAGAGAGAGAGAGAGAGAGAGAGAGAGAGAGAGAGAGAGAGAGAGAGAGAGAGAGATTTAGCAATACCAAACGACTCTAACGAACAAAACGGCTAGTTCCAATTCTCACTCACACTCTGACACGCTAATCTTGAAAACGCGTCCAACGGAGCTCCGTGTTGCTCCCAGCGCCCTCCCCCGCGCTTCCTGCGGCCATGGCCGGTGCTACTACTCCGCCACATCGAAAGTGGACTCTCTCACAGACCAGCGCACAGCGCCGGGACGCACAGCGCCGGAGTGGTTCGACTCCACACAAATCCGACTATCCGAGACGGTGACGGGATGCTGTCGTACACGATCGAGGGGTCCCGTACCATGCGGAATCGACTCTATCAAGTGCTCAAGTGCTCAAGGCTGTGAAGTGAGCAGAACATCGCTTGGCACAGACTCAACTTCCCGCAGACTTCCCGGTCGAAACGCGTCAAAGGCGGGCACTTCGGGTCGGCGGGTTTCGACGCACTGTTGGCCGCCAAGCATGCCGGGCTCATCCCTCCCGCACCTCGGTGGCGAGGTGCCGGACATCCCCGTCCCGGTGCCGGACGAGGTCGCGCGGCTTGCTTTCGAAGTGGCGAGCTCCGGTGCGTCTCCGCTGCCCACGACGCCAGCACGCAGCAGCAGCGCAAGCACGTTGGCGCAACTGCGGCACATGCACATGCGCATGCACATCAGCATGCACATGTGCATAAACCACAATCTGGTGCTCAAAGAGCGCGCCACGGCCGTACTAGCGACTGGGCAGTGAGTAGGCTAGTGACCGCATGCGCGAGGCATCATGGAAGTGCGTTCGCCGTAGGCACTCTCCAAGAGATGGTCAAGCTGCTGCGGTGCGCTGACCGGCAACTCCCTTGCAAGTGTGACTTCGTCCGACATATGAAGCTCCGCTCGCCGCAGGCGTCATCCGGCACTATGGCAACTCCGCGACTCCGAACACCGGCAGCCTCTCCACGTTGCCGCCCAGGCGCTGACGCTGCCACGCCCGCCCCCTCACATTGCCATCGCCCGTCCCGTAGCCACCGTCGGCCCCGTGACCATCCGCCCCGCTGGTCTGTCCAGGCCGGCCAGCTTCCGATGGCTCAGCTGCTTGTGAAGGAAGGAGCCAACCTCCACGTCCGCGACCGTGAGCAGTGGACTCCTCTTCACTATGCCTGTCATGGTGCCCTTCGCCCCCTCCCTGTCAAACTCTGCCTAACCATTGCGCGTACGCCTTGCCGGCACACAAGGCACGTAAAACGCACGCACGCGCGAACGCAGCCGTCGGCACTGCCAGTGCGAGAGTAATGGTCGCTACACGTGTGGGCTCACGCCAGTGACTCGGTTAGGTGGATGCCTTGGTGTCGCAGAGTGGCTGCTACAGGCGGGCGCCGCAGTCGGAGCGGAGGCGGCGCTGAGCTGGCAGCCACTGCACTGTGCGATCGATGCTGGCCACGCTGCTCTCGTGCGCTTCGTGCACGCACGCGGCGCCAGCCTTGAGGCGATGACTTCAACTGGCCACGGCGCGTTTTGCCAAGCTAGTCGAGACCGTGCCTCCTGCGCAACCGCTTCCGTCACCACTCCCTCCTTTTCGACTCCTCATCAGGCGTGCTTCACATCGCTGCCAGCCGGGGCCATCTCGAGCTGCTTCAGTGGCTCCTCGCCTCTGCGGGCGGGCCGCAGTGGCTGGCCTATGCCGCACCAGAGGGCGGTTGGGACCCTCTCCTCGTCGCCGCGCATGCTGGCCAGCTCGACGCCGTCCGTTGGCTCTTGCAGCAGCGGCGCGAAACTGGCGACGGTGCGCAGTCCACTCCGCGCCAGTCAACTCAGCCTAGACACCCCCCCCCCCCTCCCCCCCGCCCCTGCCCCCCCTTCTGCCCCGCTCCTCCAGCGCCGTATCCTCCCTCGCTCCTCAGGCGCTGAGAGTGTTGGCCCAGGAGGGTGGCGTCTAGTCCATGCAGCAGCTTCCGGCAGCAACGTGGAGACGCTCCGTTGGTTGCTCGCACAGCCGCAGACCTCCGCAGACGTGATACCCCTTCCGCGTGCCGACGTGTTCTCCACGCAGCTTATGAGACTTCCGCGCGCCCTCGTGGATAGGTGCCTTTTATCCGGCAGCTGACCGACGATGGGTGGGGTCCGCTCCACGCCGCCGCTCACACCGGCCGCCTCGCCGCGGCGCTACTTCTCATCAAGAGCGGCGCGAGTGTGGACGGCACAACCGCAGACGGTTGCACCCCACTCCACCTCGCTGAGTCGGCCGGCCACGCTGAGCTTGCACGGCGGCTGCGGCGTCTTGGCGCGGCTGACTCGGTGAAAACATCGCCTCCGGCCATTCCGCCCGCGCTTGGCTCGCTGCGTCTCCCACGGCGCAGCTTTACCTCCAAAGAGTCCGCAGGTGCGTTCATTGGTTCATCTGCCGCTTAAACGACGCCCGAGATGCTGCAGCCCGCGATCGAGCCAGAATTATGCCAAGATAAGCCAAGTTCGTTTTCCCGTGCGTGACCTCCCCCCCCCCCCCCCCCCCGCTTGTGCGCAGCGGTTTCGGCCGCTTCCCCCAGCGGTGGCCGGTTGGACGACGTCCGCGCTTTCAAGCAGGCCCTAGCTATCGTCCCTCCGGCCGCCGCCCCCGGTGGCGGCCGGTTAAACGACGTCCGCGCCTTCAAGCACGCCCTAGCTATCATCCCTCCGGCCGCTGCCCCCGGCTTGGCCGCGCCGCCGAGCCGCCACTCGCCTCGTCCGACCTCTACGCCGCGACTTCCTTCGCCCGATCGTACCCGTGGCTTACTGCCCCACTCGCCGGTGGGTGCCAACGTTGGCCAGACGTTCATGATGGCGCTCAGGCAGGTCCGCCCGAGATGAGGCCGAGATGCGGCAATTCCCGGCCAAATTGTGGCCGAGACCGGAGGTTGGTTTGCTCGCTATCGAAGGGCTCATTATACGCACATGCGCAGGCGCTGGGCCCCCGCACCGACCCGCTCTCGGCGCGGCGGCTGCCCGTCAGCTCGGCAGAGGGCGCGGCAGTGCGGCTCCAAAGCGCGTGGCGGCGCGTGCTTGCGCGGCGCGCCTCGCTCGCCAAGCAAAAGGTGTCGGCCGCTCGTCGCTCAGGCCGCCAAGAGGGGACGTAAAGCGGGGAACAATGCGGACCGTAGGTGCGCGAGCTGATGGCTCTCGTGGTGAGGGCCGAGGACCGGCAGGCGCGTCGCATCCAGGCGGCGTGGCGCGCACGCATGGCGGCGCGCATTGCGGCGCTCGAGCGGCGCCGGGAGGCGGCCCGAGAACGACGGCTCTACGCAGGTAGCCGCCGAGCTACTGCTCGAGGATTGGTTGTCAAACCAGCGTCGCGTCACCCACTCTAGCCCCTATCGCGTGGATAGGCAGCGCTGAGCTGGCTGAGATCCTGCGCGCGCAGGGTGCGCGGCAGGTGCGCGACGCCCTCGACCGGCAGCACCTCGCGACGTCGCTGCGTGGCGAGCTGCGCGCGCTGATGGAGAAGGGTCGCGTGTACCCGCTCAAAGACGGTGGGGAGCTCGTGGCGTGGGGCGTGAGATACCTCTACATCGGTTTGCTCCAGATTGCTGGAGATTGGGAGACCCCGGATAGCATGCAGAGGTGAGGTTTTGATATTGATAGGCCTGCGGGCCGGCCAGCCGGGTCTCTGCTATCAGCACGTCAATCGAAGATACGTCCCGTTCGGCAAGGTGAAGAGCATCCCTTGGGAGGCCATCGCCACGGTCGACGCAACCGACGAGGTTGACGCGCCGAACCCAGCGGGCCGGGCTGTCGATGGCGCGGCCCTTCACACACGGCCACGCATGAACAGGTGGTCTGCATCGAGACGGTGCAAGCGGCGCGTTACCACTTCCGGCCGATGCCATCGAAGGATGGGCTGCCATCGGCGCGCGAGTGGGCGCTACGCTTTTGCCAGCTCGCAGACATCCTCGGCCACCGCTATGGCGGCGCGGTCGGCGAGGTGGCTTCCGCCGCAGAGCTTCCGCACCACGAGCCATGGGTGGCCGCCCTCGAGGGAGAGAGCCCCACGCCTTCGGAGCGGTCGAGCCGCTGGCGGCGCTCGCGGCTACGGGGACGCGGCCAGGCGCGCGCCTCCAAGGCGCGGATTGGGGGGGCGGGGAGGGTGGCGCTGCTTGCGGGGCAGGACGGGCCGAGGTGCGATCCGCCGGCGGTCGTGCACCGCATATGAAAAAAGACGGCTCGGGCTCTGGCAGGCGGGGGGGGGGGGGGGGGGGCTCCCGCGGGGCCTCCCGACGCGCACGCGCATTGAGCTGTGACACGGGTGGGCGTGGTCGCTCTTCCAGGAGCCAAAAACGATTTCTTTGACAGACACAGAGACAACCCGGCTATGGAGTTGCGCGGATGGTGACCGGTCTGGGAGTGACAGTGTGTGGTTCTCCGAGGTTGGTACCCGGCGGGCGGACGCGGGCCGCGGGGCGCGCGCGCGCGCGCGGTGCGCATTTTGTGAAAGTTCCCTACTTTTGTTTCTAGCTGATAGACACACACACACGGACGCATTACAACTCAGCTCAGCTCCTCTCCACACAGACATTTGCACGCACAGAGCAGCACGCCTTCCCTACTAGTACTCCGCCTGCGGGCCGCACATCTCGGTGAGCCGCGAGAGAGTGCGCCGGAGCATGAAGGCCTCGTCCTTGGCCGTGAAGAAGGAGGCCAGCTCGCCGTCGACCGAGTAGCGGCCGCCGACGGGCGCCACGCTGAACGGGAGTGAGGCGGCGCCCGCGTCGTCGACGGCTACCTCTGCGCCGGCCATCATCGTGTCGGCGCCGCCTCCGTCGAGCAGCGGCGAGAGCAGCTCGGCTAGCGGCGCCTCGGCGGCGACATGCAGGGCGCAGCGCGCCTCGTACAGGGCGTCGACGAGATACAGCCGAGAGATGCGATCTTGCCGAGATACAGCCGAGATCTCGGCGCGCCTCGTACAGGGCGTCGACGAGGAGGAAGAGGTGCAATCTCCCCATATCTCCCCATATCTCCCCATATCTCCCCACCTCGTACAGGGCGTCGACGAGGAGGACCAACCGGCGCGCCTCGTTTCGCTGCCGCACGTGGAGCCTCGGCACGCCGTTGAGGTACACCTACCCTCGGGCGATCTCGGGCGATCTCGGGCGATCTCGGGCGATCTCGGGCGATCTCGGGCGATCTCGGCACGCCGAGGCCCACCGTCCGCACTGCAGACGCGAGATATGGGGAGATACGCCGAGATTCGGGGAGATCGCACCGTCCGCACGGCAGACGCGAGGGCGAGGAAGTCGGGCGCGCCACGCGCCGGCTCGCCGGGCCTTGCCTCGCACAGCTCCGCGAACTCGAACCACGCAGCCTCTCCCGGCGCGGTCCTCGCCACCCGCAGCTGCCGCCCAAACCCGACCTCGAGCTGCAGCGGCGGCGGCGCGGCGCCCGACCCGAGCCTCTCGCCCCACGCGCGCCGCAGCGACACGCCCGCCGAAGCGCCGTGGTAGAACCCTCCGCGCGCGCGCGGCGCAAACACCCTCCCCTCTTCAGCAGCGCCGCAAGCCTCGGCAGAGAGTGGAGCCGGCGCGCCATTCGGCGGGCGCAAGGTGCGGTAGTCCGCGGCGGCGGCGAGGGCGAGGTTCGAGAAGCGGGTGTGGATGAGGGCGACAAAGGGCAGGAAGTACTTCCGGTTGAGTCCGCGCTCGTACAACGCCTAAGAATGAGGGAGTGACTAACTAGTGACTAACCAGCACTCCGAACCGGCTCACACTCCACGGTGAATCCGTCCCCCGCGCTAGTGCAGCGCCTCCGCGGGGCGGTTCGACGTGAAGAGGACCGTCACGCCTCGCGCGAGTATGGAGTAAGAATGAGATAGCAGCAGCAGCAGCGGCAGCAGCGGCAGCAGCGGCAGCAGCAGCAGCAGCAGTGTGTAACTAAAGTCTTGTGTCTAACCTAGCCGTCACACCTCGCGCGAGGAGCAGGTCGAACAGCTGCCGCAGGATCATCGCGTCGGCCACGTCAGTCACCTGCATTCATCCAAGCAGATGCGATCTCCCCATATCTCCCCATATCACCCCGTATCTCCCCATATCTCCCCATATCTCCCCAGCCACCTGCATCTCATCCAAGCACAGCAGCGAGTCCGCCTCCACCAGCTGCTGCGCCACAATCTCGAGCGGCTGCGGCTGCCGTGGTGGCGCCACAGCCTCGCCCGCCTCTCCGCCGCCCCCGCCGCCCCCCTCGCCGCCCTCGCCGCCCTCGCCGCCGCCGCCGCCCTCGCCGCCCTCGCCGCCGCCGCCATCCGCACTCGCATTCCCTGGTGTCGCCACCGCAGCCGCCGCCTGCAAAGCCTCCTCCGCCGCCACCCCTGCCTGCGCCTTCCGCGCCGCCGCCGGCGGCGGCTGGGCAACCCCCCTGCCCGCCTGCTGCTGCGCTTGCTGCTGCTGCGCCTGCATCTGCTGCTGCTGCTGCTGCTGCTGCTGCTGCTGCTGCTGCTGCTGCTGCGCCACTCTCGCCGGCGCGGTCAACTCTGCTGGCAAGTCCCCGAAGCGGTAGATTGGTAGCCCGCTCTCTGTCAGCACGACTGTCTTCTCACGCGACTCGTGCACCTAGAAGGTTCCTAGAAGGTTCCTAGAAGGTTCCCGCTCCGTCAGCACGACTGTCTTCTCACGCGACTCGTGCACCCGATGCAGCCGCTTGTGCACGTCGATCATGAGCTCGTGGAAGTGGAGCCGGCGGCGCGGGCCGCGCAGGCTGCGAAGGGGTGGGGGTGGAGGGTGAGGCTTGCGGCGCGCGACGCCGAGGCTGCGACTTCAGAGGCGGCGGCAGGAAAGCGTTCGGAGTCTCCTGGGAAGGTCTAGAGCGTGTCTGGCCTGGTCTCGTAAAAGAGGTCCATCAGCATCGACTTGCCACCCCCGACCGGGCCGTGGATGTACGCACCCGCCGCCGCCTCGGAGCCACCGGAGTCGGCAAGGGTGCCGTCTTGCAGGCGCTGCAAGGCCTCTGCCGCCGCTCGCTGAGCCGGGTCCGGGCGGATGCGGCCGCGGGCGACGGCGGCGTCGTAGCTGGCGAGCAGCCCGCCCGGGCCGCTGCTCCGCCATCGGGAGAAGTTACGGAAACAACCGCGAAGCGGCCGCATCGGTGTGTGAGAGATCTTCAAGACGTCGCGCGCGCGAACTCCGGTCGCTTCCGAAAGAATTTAAAGAATTTTACTATAAAAGCCCCTCTCACAGCATTGAGAATGCGCACCGCAAAGGGATGCCAGAAGGCCTGAGGGACTGGGAGAGAGGCGGACTGCTGGAGGCGATCGCTTACTATAGATCGAAGCTAGAGGCGGTGGTCTTCATGTGGGTGCCAGCACACGTGGGAATAGCCTGCAACGCTTACGCCGACGCGGTGGCGACAGCACACCTCGGGGATAACGACACGGAGGACGCCTCGAAAGTGGTGCGGGAAGCGGTGCGGACGCGGCCATGCATGTACACGGTGCGAAGGGAGGCGGCAGAGAACGCAGAGAAGAGGGAGATAGTGGACCGACGGACGTACGGACACATGTGTAAGAGCGCGCACGAGTGGGTGTGCGAGCAATATCGAAAGACAGTGAGGCCGGGGTCGCACACGGCAGGGGTGGCGGGACGGTTGTGGAGCGAAGTGGCAGTAGCCAGCCTCAAGCATCGATGGGATAATAAGATGAGATTACCAGACGAGAACGGGGGGAAGGACAGGCGGGCGACATTTGACGACGTCGGGTAGGGCGCTTCTGCATCACCCAGTGCGTTGCGGCAGTGCGAGCACTGCACACATATTCAGGTTTTGGCTCGGTCCACTGCATCGAACACGCCGTCACCCTCTTGCACGACCTAGACCGATGTGAAGACCATTCGACGCTCGACCTGGAGGACTACGCATTTGTGATGCGGTGCCTGCTCGAGAGCGACGTCCACCGAGCGAAGGAGGACCTCGTGATCAAGGTTTTGGGAACCTTGCATGAGGGAAGCATCCCCTTTGAGCCTGCGGATGATCAGGTGGCGGGCTGGATCCGGCTGGCCGTGTCGCTGATGCGCTTGTATCCCAACGTTCCGCCCGAGCCGTACGGGCAGCACGACACGGTCGTGTTCCACGCCCTCTGCGTGATCGAGGTGCTTGCCGGTCGAGCGTTCTGCGCCGCTCGCGATCGGCGACGAGCACATTTCTTCGATGTCGACGCGGTTGTCCCAGAGGCGGTGCAGGTCATCGTTGAGCTTGCCCTCGAGACGCTGTCCTACGATAGCGGCCCCTTCTGCCCCGAACTCTCCATGGTGGCCTTTGCCGTGAGGCCGATCGCGATACTCGTGGACTCGCCGGCGGCGGCCGCGGGCCGCTGCGGGCTGCCTGCTGCTTTGGTGCGGCTCCTGGACACGTTCCCTCCCGTGCCAGCTGGCGAGTCGCTCGAGTCGCAGGAGCGCTCGGACGAGCTGTGCGAGCTGGCCCTCAAAGCTCTATGTTCGTTGGCGCTCACTGACGGCGCCGCAGTCGTTGCCGCTGACGCTGTGCGCATTGCGATGCACGTCCTCTCGCACCCTCACCTGCCTCAGGCATGGGAGTGGGCTGTGTGCCTGCTCTCAATCCTGGCGTCGGACGGACACGGCGTGCATGAGACGACGCGAGCGACGCGGGTGACGCGAGCGTCACGAGCAGGGCGCAGCCGCGGTCAGGGGGCCGTCGGCTTCCTGCGGTGGGCGGCCCGCGCCGCCACGTGTGGTTCCGGTAGCGTTTCGCGGGGCGCGTGATTTAACTCTTTATTTGTGTGGGGTGCCTCGGTCCGAGAGATACATTAAAGTCCAAAGAAAGAAAGAAAGAAAAGATACCCTGAGGAGGGATATGGAGTGGGAGTTGGGAGGAGCTCCTTTCTAGAATCAGTTTTGTTGTAAATTCTAGCACATTTCTTTGTTCGCCGAGGTGCGAGGACACACACAGGACGCACCTCTAGCGAGGCCCGCATAGTATGTGGCAAGCCTCGCCGGGGGCGCGACAGAGCCGCGGCGCCGCCGATGCAGCTGGAAACGGCTTGCCGCTCGCGCGTGGCAACGTCGAGCCTCTCCCGCTCAGACCTCGCGGCCCGCGCCCACAAGGCGAGGCGCAGCACCAGCGCCCCCACCTCCTTCATCCCAAGCTTCAGCTCCGCCACCTGCTCCGCCAGCTCGGCATTGGAGCGGCGCTTCGGCCGCGGACTTGGCATGCCGCCCCGCGCCTCCTCCTCGTCGGGCTCCACGAGCCGCTTGTGAGGCGGCTCGCGCCGCCGGCAGCAGCAGCGGTAGAAGCAGAGCGCCAGGAAGAGCCACCCGGCTACTCCCAGCGCCAACTCCAGCGGGGAATTGGCGAGGATGGCTCGGCCCGCCTTTACCACGTGATCGCGAAGGAGGGGGGGGGGAGCACTCGGAGTGGATGTCCGGTTCCGGTCGTCCAATTTTAGCTTTAGCGAGTCGCCGAGGGGGCGCAGGCTCCACTCGCGCACCGCGCTCCCGTGTTCGGCGACCTTCTGGGCCCACCGCTCAGGGAGCAGCGCGCCCAGCTCCGTTTCCAGCTCCTTGAGGACGGGCGCCACCGTCCCGCCGAGCTTCTCTACAAAGTCGGCGTAGAAGGGTGGGGGTGGGGCGAGCGGCGGCGGCGGCGGCGGCGGCGGCGGCGGCTTTGGTGGCGGCGGCGGCGGCTTTGGTGGCGGCGGCGGCGGCGGCGGCGGCGTTGCTGGAGGCGAGAGAGGCGGCGGCTTCGCCGGCGGCTTCGGCGGCGGCGGCTTCGGCGGCGTTGCTGGAGGCGAGAGAGGCGGCGACGGCGGCGACGGCGGGGGCGGTGGCTGTGGTGGCGGCGGTAGCGGGGGCGGGGGAGGCTCTGGCCGCTGCCCCGGCGGCCAGGGCGGCATCGGCGGCGGTGGGTTTGGCTTTGTCACCCCTGGCGGCGACGGCGGCGGCAGCGGCGGCGGCGGCTGAGGCGGCGGTGCAGGAGGTGGTGGCGGGGAAGGCGAGGGCGACAGAGGCGGAAGCGGAGGCGAGGAGGGTGGGGGCGGCGAAGGAGGCGGCGGCGAGGGCGGAGGCGGTGAATATATTTTTTCGTAGCACGTCGTGCCGCTCGAGGGCGTTGCGCCCGCAATCGCGTCCTCCGGTGCTTGCGCCTTATAGGTCTTGCACTCGACCTGACCTCCGACGAGCGGAGCGTAAAAGCTGTAGCCGACGCAGAAAGCGTCGACGTCGCAGGACCGGCGGCAAGTTGCGTGATTCGCAAATGCGTAGGAGACGCTGTTGGACGTCGACGCGGAGTCGTACTTCCCAGGGCCGCCGGCGCGGTCTACACACGCGCCAGCTCGCCCTAGGTACCAAACCATATCGCTATCTGATACCTAGACGTTCGGCGGATGAGCATTAGGGTGCCTCAGGGGCTGAGGGCTTTGGGGCACTCTCTCGAGGTTCTCGAGGTGGATATCCTTTGGCCGCGTTGGGTAGCGAGGATTGGTGTAACCCGAGCCACGGAGGCGTGTTTTCTGACGGCCGACCGTCAGTGCACGGAGTTGCCCCTTCTCCGACTGCCCCGGCTAGTTCCCGAGTTTCGCGGGAGTGACCCCATGCGTCAAACCCGAGACCTAGCGCGGGTGGGTTGGAGGGGGCTCGCCCCGTTCCTCCCCATCGGGCCGCATGTGCGGCCACGCCTCGCAGATTCGTTTCTCGCGCCTGGGTCAGGCGCGCGGGGCATCCCCCGGGTCGCTCGACCAGCGGTCCGAAGAGTGGCCGCTATGCGAGGGAAAGAGCGGGGCCCTCGACGCCTCAGTCCGGCCCTCCGAGGGGGGAAGGGAAGTGCGGGGTCCCCACGGGCGCCTCAGTTCGGCCCTCCCGAGGGGGGGAGGGGAGCAAGGGTGTGGGGGGATCGGGGCGGTGGGGAGGGGTCTCGGGTTTCATGTGGCTAAGACTTGCCTTTCGGGGAGGGGCCTCGGGAAAGGCGCGCATGCTTTGGGGCACGACACGCCGGGAAAACGATCCCGGCGTGAACACTCTCGAGGTTCTCGAGGTGGATACGCCCACTCAGGATGTGTGGCAGCCCGCTGGCTGTGTGTCTTGTGAGCTTGTTTGTGTCTGTGTGTCGCTCGTGCGTGTCGTCATCATCTGGGCTGCGTAATGCGACGCATTTGGACTGGCAAGTGACGTACACGCACCGAGTTTACGTATTCCCGAGAGGGCGTAATGTGATGCGTATGCATATGGGCCTCCGTGCATATGCGTAGCAGTACAGCTCACGATTGATCGGAAATCAATAATTTCAATTCGTCCTCCTCTGTCCACGATCAAACGCGGCGCCAGAGACTCGAGCGCGCAGTTGCGCAACACTCCCCGAACACTCCCCTGCACTCCTTACTCCTCTCACTGCAATGGCCGCAAGCAGCACCGTCAGCGCCGCCGTCAGCGGAAGCTGGACCGCGGTCGGGCACACCTGTATCGGGACGAGCGTCACCTCAGAGCCCGCCGCTTCGCTCACGTCGCTCGCCGCCTCGCTCGCGTCGCAAGAGACGGCGGCAGAGGAGCCGACAACTGTTGACCTCTCGCTCCTGCAGCAGCAGCAACAGCTGGCTGAGCGTCTCAAGCAAATGGAAGCCATGCTGGAGGCGCAACGGCGGGCGCAAGCACTAGAAAAGGTGCGCATGGACCTCCGCATTGCTACGGTGTCCGTCCTCTTCCTTCTCCCCTTCTTGTATGCTTTGCACATCGCGTCGATTCCTTTTCGCGTGAGCACCAGCCTGAAGCCCGCCCAGCAGCTGAACCGCTCCCTAAGTCGAAGGAGCATCATCAGTCTCACCCACTTCGCTCGCTGCCCACCGTCTCCGCTCCCTCCCGCTTGGGCCGCCGTCGCGGCCCTCGTTCGTCCCACTGGCTGTTGGCCCGTCCCTGCGTTGCCTGCGTTATCCCTCCTCCTCCGCGACTCCCTCAACGCTCAAGGCCGGCCGAGCCTCTTTCCACCCAGTGAAGAGCTTCCTCAGCCACTCGATGTGTTCCTCTCTCTTCATTATGCGCGCCGTAGCCTCATCATTGAGCTAGATCCACCTCTGCACCGCTCCCGTCGCCGCCTCCCGAGGCCGACACATGTTTTTCTTTTTGCTCCCTCCCGGTCGCATCACGCCGGTCTTAGTTTTCGGAATCGAGTCGTCGGTCCAGTTGTACCACTTATCCAAATAAACACGCGCCTTAGATCTTATTGGTAACGTATGCTCGGTATGCCGTACACCTGCTACTGCCAGTACTGTACAAACGACCTCCCGTCGATAGGTTCCGCACGGTGGTCGGAGAGAAGACCTTCCGCAACATGCTCGCGCATCCCGGTCGGTGCACACTAAGCACTCGAAACCTGTACTGGGACAGAGCCCCTGTCGGGACCCGACCCTTCCATCCCTGAGCCCCTAGCGGCGGGCTCGCTCATGGCGGCTCGAAGCCGAACTTGACAAACCTGCCCGCGTGCCCGGGCTTCATCCCCGTCTCCTTGGCCACGTCCGCCCGATCGGCGGCGTCCAGTCCGCGCAAGAACGAGATGTCGTCGTAGCCCTCGGCGTCAAAGGCGGCGGCGTAGGCCTGCAGGTTGACCTGCGCCAGCGCCGCGGCGACGGCCGCCATGCCGCCCGTGGGCGGAGGGGGCGTCTCCCTCAGCACGGTGCGCCCGTCCGGCGTGGTCGTGAACAGGCGGCTCGAGAGCGGGGAGGGGCCGGCAGGGGCGGCGGTGGAGGTGGGGGCGGCGGCGGCGGCAGTGGAGGTGGAGGCGGCGGCTGCGGTGCGGGCGGCGGTGGCGGGCGCGGCCAGTGCGGTGGGTGCGGTGGCGGCGGTGGCGGCAGAGGAGGAGGAAGAAGAGGAGGAAGCGGCGGGAGGGGTGGAGGAGGAGGAGGCAGTCGAGGGGGCGGCGGCGGCGCGGCTTGAGCGCCGCTTCGGCGGCGGCGCGTCGGTCGGCTCGAGCGGGCGCTTTGCTGGGCGGGGCCGGGCGCCGGTGCCGCCGCCGCCGTAGGAGGAGGGCAGCGGAGCCGGGCGAGGAAGCGCAGCCTCTGCCTGGCGCTCCGGCGCCTCGCCGACCGTGCGCGCGTACGCCACCGCCGCCTCCACCGCCGTGTCGAAGGTGCCCAGGTAGACCTGCCTTCCGCCCACCGTGCCCATTGCCTGGAAGCGGCCACTGATCTCGCGCACGCCCCTGTAGCCGGTGCTGCTGCTGCTCGAGAGGTGCAGCCGCAAGCCCTCCGCCTCCGCCGCCACTGCCGGAGGCTGGTACTCGCCGACCGCGCGCGCGAACGCCACCGCCGCCTCCAACGCCGTGTCGAAGGTGCCAATGTGTGCACGTCCACCGTCAGCCGTCTGCCGCGCCTCGAAGCGGCCGGAGGCGTTCTTGATCACCCCCTTGTACCCGGTGGCGCCACCTCTGTTAGAGAGGTGCAGCCGCAGCCCCTCCGCCTCCTCCGCCGACGCCTGCCCTGCTGCTGCCGCCACCGCCGAGCCCGCTTCCGGCGCCTCGCCGACCGTGCGCGCGTACGCCACCGCCGCCTCCACCGCAGTGTCGAAGCGGCCGAGGAAGACAGTCCGTCCACCCACATGGTGCTGCGCCTGGTAGCGGCCAGCCTGCACCACGGTGCTCTTGGTTACCCCCTTGTAGCCGCTCGGGTTGCTGCTGGACAAGTGCAGCCGTAGTCCCTCCGCCTCCGTCGCCACCATCGGAGATGGATGAGCCGGTGGATGGTACTCGCCGGCCGCCCGCGCGTACGCCACCGCCGCCTCCACCGCCGTGTCGAAGTAGCCGAGCGAGACCCTTCTTCCGCCCACACTGTGCTGCGCGTAGAAGCTGACGCGGCCGTTTCGCGAGTCCTTTTGCACCCCCTTGTAGCCCGCGCTGCTGCTGCTGGACAAATGCAGACGCAAGCCCTGCGCGACCGCCACAGGCGCCTCCGCCACGGGCGCCCCCGCTGCCGCCGCCGCCGCCGCTGCTCCCTCCTCCAGCGGCGCCGGCTCTTCTGCCCCTGCCGCCGCCGCCGCGGGCGCCATCAGGGGCGGGCTCTGCTCGCTATCCTCCGCGGGGGCCGCAAGCTCAGCCGCCGGCTCCGGCTCGTCGTCGCTGTCCAGCGCCATTGGACACGCTGCGCTGGTTCCCGGCAGCGCGGCCTTGCCACTGCTGCCGCCGCCATCTCCGCCACCGCCGGCCTCCTCGTCGCCGCCACCGCCCCCACCCCCCGCGCCGCCCGCGCCGCCCGCGCCGCCCACCGCCTCGGCAGTGGCAGTGCTTGCCGCCGCTTGAGTGTCCGCCTCTGCAGCCACAACGCCGGCGGCGGGCGCAGGCGGCCCCTCGCTTGGCGCGGCGTCCGCGAGCTCTTTGAGGCGGAGCGAGCACTTCTGCTTCTCGTCGTTCCAGACCAGCACCAGGCAGGAGGCGCCCGCCTTCACCTGCGCCTTGACGATGCAGCTCCCGCAGTCGCACGGCATTTTGAGCCGCAGCGTGTGCAGCTGCGCTTTGGGCTCGAGGGTGAGGCGGAGCTTTCGGAGGTGCGGGTCGGCTGCGCTCTCCCTGTCAAGCGCGCGGGCGAGCCGCCCGCTCTCCGCGAGGCTCTGCCAGGAGAGCGGCGCCGGCGGCGCATCCGCCATTTGAAAAAACGGTTCGCTCGGAAAACCTCGTTGGGACCGGGGTTCGACTGTCGTGCCATCTCCGCTTCACAACGACCATGCCGCAATCGTCGCCGGCGCGCGACACGTTTCCGTTGGCGGGACTGTCCTGGTCGAGAGTGTGTGCCGCCGAGGCGGGACCACTCGGGGACAGTGCCGACGGGACGCGGCTCGAAGGCTGTGGCTCCGCAGCGCGGCTGGCACTCGTCGCAGAGGCCTCACCTTCGAAAAGTCGGGCATGGCTCCACCCGCAACTTTCTCGCTAACACGCGCGCACCGCCGAGCCTGCGGCGGGCGCGCTGCGGCCGCACGTCTACCTTCGTCATAGTGCCACGACGTGCGGCCTAGATTTAGCCCACGCGCCTCTGCTCGCAAACACTCACCCATTGAATTGTCATTGCCCGTGAGTGCGAGATTAGGGCTAGCCGCAGGCAGCTAGCCTCTGAGGAGAGCGTCCATAGACACCTCACTAGACCCCACATACGGTCTCGTCCGTGCCTCGCCGGCCGGCGAGATTGCTGGAGGTAGAGCAAGACTGCTCTAGCCTCGCATGTCACTTCCTGTTGTCTGTTGTTTGTTGTGCCCTTGTTTGTTCTTCTGGTGCCTTGGAGTGCTGGGGGGGGCGACAGGGAGGATGTGGCCCTGAGTTATGTGTACGCCTACTCAGGGTGTGTGGCAGCCAGCTGGCTGTGTGTCTTGTGAGCCTGTTTGTGTCTGTGTGTCGCTCGTGCGTGTCGTCATCATCTGTCTAGCGTCCACCCATACCGCGTTGGTGTCCAGTCCGAGCCTGGCTGTTCTTCACCTTTCTACCTACCTACCTACTTCGACTGGCTCCATGAGGCAAAATGGGTTGAGAATGGTGTGTCGCAGCTTTGTGGTGCGAGCAGCGCAGCGCCAGGCCGACCACTGGCATTCTCTCTCTCTCGCCCGAGCGGCTGTGGGACGGAGGCCCGCCGAGCGAGTGCGAGCCGCATCGGCGGCCATGTCTCCCGCCGCCGCGAGCGAGTGGCGCAAAGAGGCAGCGTCGCTTTTGCCTTTTTTTTTATTTTCAGCACTCCAGCAGCGCACACTACTCGGGAAGCGCCGATCGCGATGCTCTCCGCGCTGAGCTGCTGCGCTCTCTCCTTCTCAATTCAGCGCGGCATCGACGGCGTTCTTAGTACTCGGCTGCCCCAGCCCGTTGCTGCCGCCTCCATCGCCTTCGAGATCACTTCGGTCCGAGGCGACGACGCCTCTCTCGACCGCGCCGCTCGCTTCTTCGTCGAGGGCTTCTGGGCGGCGAGCACAACCACGGACACTGGCGGCGCGCTCACAGACCGCGACCGCGACCAGCTCGCCGCGCTGCAGCGGGACGACATGATCGCTCGGTACGGCGAGACGGTCGGCGCTCGGAGGCTCCGCTCGTCGCTCTTTGTGGCGGAGGACCCGAGCAGTGGCGCCATCGCCGGGTGTGTCGGCGTCGAGATGGCGCTCGTCGACCCGTCGCGCGGCCGCGTCCTCTCGCGCGCGCAGTCGGAGAAGCTGTTTAGCGACGAGCTCAACTCGATGGGGGCGCGCGAGCGGGGCACGTACCGCAAGATGAGTGCGGCGGAGCTGACAGAGGCGCTCTTCCCAGAGTACAAATGCCTCGCCCTCCTCGCCAACCTCGCCGTCGCGCCAGCCGCGCGCGGCAGCGGTCTTGGCCGCCGGCTGTGTGCGCGGTGCGACGAGGCGGCGGACGCGCGGGAGCATAGAAGCCGAGTCCGTCTTCCTGTCTTCCGTCTTCTTGTCTCCCAACCAGCGCTCGAGACGACACGTATCCCGCTGCATTCACTGTATTCGTCATCCCGCCCGTAGTCGCGTGAAGGCATGGGTACACTGCACAGTGCCGTACTCCCGCCCTCATGTCGGCGTATTCTGCTTCTAGGACTGGGAGCTGCCCGCGATCATGCTGCAGGTGGAGCTGCACGAGATCGCACGAGATTACACGAGATTACACGAGATTGCACGAGGATACACGATATTACCGAGATTATGCGATCGTGCTGCAGGTGGAGCTGGCAAACGCGCCCGCTCGCAAGCTGTACGAGGCCGCCGGGTGCGCCGAGATGCAGCCGAGATGCAGCCGAGATGCTGCCGAGATGCTGCCGAGAGGCAGCCGAGATGCTGCCGAGATGCTGCCGAGATTCTGCCGAGAGATCGCCGAGAGAGATAGCCGAGAGAGATAGCCGAGAGCCAGGGAAGAGCCTCCCCCCCCCCCACCCACCCACACACACACACACACACACACACACACACACACACACACACACACACACACACACACACACACACACACACACACACACACACACACACACACACACACAACAAACAGGTACGGCGCGGTGTTTGCCGACGAGGGCGCGAGCGCGCTACGCGTGAAGCCGGGAGGCGCGGAGCTGCAGCTCGAGTCCGTCCCGTCGACTCTGCTGCTCATGGGCAAAGGCGTCTGACGATGGCATGCGCTGTGGTTGGACTCTAGACTCCTTGTCCGCGTTACCGCCTCTTGCTTAGTGTGTTTCTTGCTTTTGGTGTCCGTGATGTGCACCCAAACACGGAGATCATACGGAGAGGTGAGTTTCGTGCCGAAGGGAGTACCGAGTGTACGGCTTTCGCAGGAGAGCAGTCGCGCGACACGCGACTGGTGCATCACTACACATGATTGTAGAGAAAGCATTTCGGAAAAACCCGGGCTGGCGCGACAGCGGACAGGTATTCTGCACCTCCGTCGTACATCCTATCGTCATAGTCAAGCACCACCCCGGCGCCGTGGGTCCGTGCGCGGCGCGGTCCCTTCGCTTGCCCCCCTTGCGCTAGACGCCACTCTTCGCCGCGCTGGGGGCTCAAAGTGCCGTCCGCGCCTCCTGCCACTCTCGAATCGTCCGGCGCAAATTGTGGTTCGGGATTAAGGATGCTACGCTCGAGCTCGCCGCCGGTCAGCGGGCTCGTCGACTTGGTCGCGAGCCAACGCTCGATCGCAGTCCGCTCATACGACTGCCCGTCGGCCGCCACGACTGGCTCGACCATGATCTCGGTCGTGATCGGGCAGATGAAGTCGGCCGGCGGCTCCTCCTCCTCCTTCGCAGCCGGCGCCTCTGCAGCAGCAGATGGCGAACCAGCCTGCCCTCGGTCGCAGCGACAAGCGTCTGCTCCTCCACCACCGGCCTCGCTCCCTCCAGCCTCGCACTCTTCACGAGCGCCGCCGCCAGCTCCGCCTCCTCTACCGCCGCCGCCGCCTCGCCCTCTCCCGCCTCGTCCGCCTCATCCTCGGGCTCCTGCGACGGGCCAGCGCCTCCGCCGCCGCCCGTCCCCTTCTTCTTCTTCTTCTTCCCCTTCTTGCTCTCCTTGGCGCGCCCCGCCTCCTTCTCCGCCTCCTCCTCCGCCAGCAGCGCCTCGGCATGCCTCGCCGCCTCCGCCTCTGCCGCCGCACTCTCCACCTCCCTCGCCGCTGCTTGCGCTGCCTCCTTCGCCGCTGCTTGCGCCGCCGCGTGCTCCTCGAGGGCGCGCACGCACTCGCTGTGGCCCCTCTCTTCGGCCAGCTGCAGCGCCGTCCTGCCGCCTGCATTGCACGCCGTCGTATCGGCGCCCGCTCGCAGCAGGTGGCGCACAATGGCGGGGTGGCCTTCGCCGGCGGCAAACATCAGCGCGGTGTTGCCAGTGCTGTTTTGCAGGTCGACCTCCGCGCCGCGCTGAAGCAGCAAGTCAACCACCCGCTCGTGGCCGTTGAAGGCGGCGAGCATCAGCGCGGTATAGCCGTCGCTGTTCTGCAGGTTGACTTGAGCGCCGTGCTGCAGCAGCAGCTCCACCAACCGCTCGTGGCCCTCCTCGGGCCTGGTCGAAGACGGCGGTTGGGCCACCCACCGGGTCAAAGTAGAAGACGGAGGAGATGTTGGGATGCTTGATGCAGGTGCTGCCGTCGGGCTTGATCTCTATGTTGCAGTCGGTGTGATGCTCCTTCGGGTCCTCCCCCGGCACATCCTGCTGCTGCCACCACCATTCCACGCCGCTCATCTCCTCGACTGGGACCGTCGCACGCACCGCCGCATTCTGGCTGATCTCCACGATCGCCTGCTCGATGGCGTTCCGGGGAGGCTGAGCGGCATGGAGAGGGAACCAGTAGGTCCCCTCTGTGAGAGTGTTCGGATTGCTGACCGGGATGTAGTCTAGCTCAGCGATGTATGCAAAGTCCTCTCTCAGCCTCCGCAGGGAATCATCCCGCAGCACTTGGCGATAGATTGCCAGTGACTGACTCACTATTGCAATACTGAGGGAATGCCTGAGAGTTCCGCCACGTCCATGCACATGTACCGTCGGGTCTCTATTTTAAGATGAGGTAAACAGCAATAGATCCGGCCCTCAAGCGGCCTAATCGATACCCGGCCCTCACGGAATCGGTCCCTCGTTGTACAGCAATCGATCCTTCACACTGCCCGCGCGCTGCCAAACTTGGGGTCGAGAATCGGTCCCCAGGTTACCTGTGGCGCGAAGCTGCGATATGTCTCCCGCCCTCGGCGCGCCGACCGCGCAGCGGCGGCAGACCACCCTCCGGTTCGAGGGGCGCCTGGGGCTGAGCGGGCTGCCTCCGCCAGAGTTTGGCTCGCCCACCGGCGGGCTGTCAGGAGCTTCTCATCGGCGCGCGATCGCCGGTGATCCCTTAGAGGCAAGATCATCTCGAGCCTTGCGAGAGCCGGCCATCACATAGGCGCTGCTGTCAGCAAACGCTGCCGCACGGAACGTGGCTCAGCGCTTCGGCGCGACCCCAGAAAACAGGCGGCTTACGCGGCGTCATTTTACGAAGCGAATGATTGCGAACAGGCAAGGACGTGGCGAACAGAGAGGAGGCGGCACAGCAGAGGGCGCTCGTGACGAGCGCCGCTGGCATCGCCGCGTCCAGCGGTGACGGCGGTGGGCGGCGCAGGCAGGAGGGGCAGCTTGGTTTCGGGGCAGCCACCGCGGTGGTGCTAGTTGGGGCCCTGGTTGGACGGAGGTACCGGTTCTCAAAGTAGGGCGTCCAACGTAGGCATAAGGAGAGTGGGTAGAGAAAGTAGCAAATTACAGCCGTAGAACCATACACCGTGTGGCATTTGCTATGCCAGCAGCGTGCGCATGCGCCCCAAACAACGGGCGGAGCCCGCCCTGCGAGCTCGAGCCTTTCTAGCGCTGGAATGCATCTTGCAATACCCAACGACCCCTGCGCTCAGCCTTCCTTCTTCGCCTCCTGCTGGGCCCGAGTCGCGTGCTCCGCAAGGCTGGACAAGGTTGCGTGCTCCGAGAGCAGCTCGGCTCCCAACCTGATTCCGAACTCCTGAGACAAGCGCAGCAGGGCGTTGTGGTGAGGCAGGGCTACGGGAATCCAGCGGAGGCGTGGAGAGGCAGCGGTGTCGGCAGGGATCGGAGGCTCGAGAGAGGGAGGGGTGTGGCATGTGGCTCGTGGTGGAGGGGGCTGGAGAAACGGCGGCATTGGCCGCTTATTTGCGGGCCTTGTGCACTGCGTCGTCAAGGAAAGCCAGCTGCACAGAGGAGAGGCCAAGCTCGAGGATCGGCGTATCGAGGCTGAGGCCGGCGACACCAATCGCCCGCAGGGCTGCAGCAACAAAGTCTGGCGCTGTAGGCATGAAACGTGAGTGCTCTTGCCCAGTATATATACGAGTAGGCGGCGCTAAACGGACCAGTCAGAGAAGGGTGGGGGAGGCGCGCGGTTTCGTCCCCGTACCCCCCCCCGGCGGGTTCTTTGTTTGCCAATAATGGATACCAAAGAAAGCCAAGAAAAAAGCGGCGGGTTTTCTTGTTTTGGTGAGCCGGTGTGTGTGCCAGTCCGCGCCAGTCCGCGCCCTTGTCGTGCCAGTGTGCTGTGAGAGAGGCTTGTTTAACAATTCTTGTTTTTGCTGTCACCCTCTTGTGTCTCCAAGCGCCGGCGTCGCGCGCGCTGCCGCACTGCGCGTCGCTGACCCCGAGCTATGCCGCGACGCTCACAGGCCCGAGCGGGTGCGAGAGCTGTTCCCAAGCAGCCGGTCTGCGGCCGCCCAGGCAACTCTACCGCGCCTCGGCCGCTCTCCATCGGCCTCGGTGTCACGCACACTTGCAGCAAGGGGTACCGTCCCGAGTACATGAAGGCGCAGATCTTCCGGCTCGCGCTGCTCTCGTACCGGCAGTCCGGCCTCCTGCAGCTGGCGTCCGAGAAGCTCCTCTTCCTCAACGATCCGAACGCGGAGTGCCGTGCACTGGGCGCCTCGTACGGCTTTGGCATCCTCACGCCAGCCGCCGTGTTTGCCGCGCCGCACCGCTTCCCCATCATCAACCGCGAAAATCCCAGAGCGCACCTGAACGCGGTCGCGGGCGGCAGCAAGAGCAGGCCGCGCGACTCGGCGTACGCGCCCGTCGCCCCGGACGTCGCGCTCTCCGGCGAGACGGTGGCTGTCGGCAGAAAGACAGAAAGACAGAGACGCACGCGCCAGACGAGGGAGGGGAGAAGGACCGACTGCCCCCACCTGACGGGGTGGGCAGATGCATTTCTTTCTAGCGATGCATTTCGCCTGTAACCAAACATCACGTGTGTTTAGGTGACGGTCGGCACGGCGATGAGCTTCCTCTTCCAGGCACTCTCGACCGAGCTGGTGCTCTTCCTCGAGGCTGACTTCGTGGTCGGCGTGCCGCCCGACTCGCTCCGCGCGCAGATCGAGGCGGCGGCGCTGCTGCGGGGGGCGGGCCTCCCGCTCACGCGGCTGCAGTCGCGAGCGACCATCAACCAGCCGGGCGGCCTCGACGCGCCGTGCTGCTCCGCCGCCTCCGCCACGCCGCACCGCGAGTGCCGGTACCGCCTCCACGGCGGCAGCTGGGCCCGCTCGCCCAACTGGCGCAACTTTTACTGCGACGTTGACATGCCGGCGCGCGGTGCCGTCCTCATGGCCACTTGCGTGCGCCGGCCGACGATGCGCTGCTTCTCCTCGACCGACGCCAACTGGAGCAACCGCCCGTTTCTCGCGGACCGGCGCTGGTTCGTGCATGCGCCGCTAGACCCGTCGGGTGTGGACGGCGTCTCTTCACACGCCCAGCTGTGAACAGGTTCCCGCACGCGCCGCTTGAGCCGTCGGGTGTGAACGGCGTCTCTTCACACGCCCAGCTGTGAACAGGTTCCTGCATGCGCCGCTTGAGCCGTCGATCAAGGCGCTCAACGCGTCTCTCGGCGAGCTCTCGCAGGTCGTGCCCGGTATCTCCCCACATCTCCCCCAATATCTTCCCCACATCTCCCCCACATCTCCCCCATATCTCCCGCAGACCTCCCCTCGCTAGCTTTCGCAGGTCGTGCCCGACGACAACGGCGCCTTCGAGGTGCGCGCGCTCTCAGCGTCGGCCGAGTAGCTCATTCCACGCCTCGGGGGAGGAGCAGACTACCGCACCTTGGAGGCCGGCTTGGCGCTCCAGGGAGGCCTATGTCTCTAGTCTCTAGTCTCTAGTCTCTAGTCTCTAGTCTCTAGAGGAAGGCTCAACTCGTAGGTGCACATGCTCAACATCGACTGGGGCCGCGCCGCCGTCCCCCTCTGCCTCTCCGCCGACGGCGTCTTCGAGCACTACGGCTACTCGCAGCCGCAGCGCGCGATGCTCCGCTCCCTTAGCGACGCCGACCTCGCAACGCGCAGCTACCTCGATCTGCTCGCCGCCGCGCGCCGCGATCCCGCCGCCAAGGAGCCGCCGGTGGCTCCGGGTTCGAATCGCGGCCTTCGCGGAGCGAACGCGGCGACCTTGGCGCGCCTCGCGCACGTGCGCGCCCGCGACAAGACGAGACGAGACGAGAAGAGAAGGAGAAGTGGACGTTGATGTTTTGCCGCAGCGGCCGCGCCGCGAGCTCGCGTCCGTTTTGGCGCCGACGCAGCGCGCGGCCGGGGCCCGCGGGCCGCGCAGCGACGCTCGCGCGGCCGAGGCTGGGCTAAGGTAAGGTAAGGTAAGGTAAACTTCTCCACACACACGAGGTGGTGGGGCAAGGGGGGGCAACCCTCGCGTCTCCACGTCTAACGACAGGAGCCCCACGGCATTCAAAGTGCGCAGCAAGGCCGGGCTCCGCGGAGGTGGCGAAGCCGAAGGGCCCCCGGCCCGGCGGCCGGGCGCGGACTGGGGGATAGAGAGAGTTTTGTGTCTAGATGAGAATTACGGTGTCGCGCTCTCGATCTCTGACACAAAAGAGAAACCTGCGCTTAGACAAGAGAAAAAGCAGCGCTGTCTCACGCGCGCGGGCGGAATTTGGCAGAATATGAATAAATAGGGCGCCGCGGTGCCGGTGGCTCTCAATGAGGTGGAGGTACCATCGACGTAGAGCGCGGTGAGGCTCTGGCGGGGAGAGGACGCACCAGAGGGCCCCGGCGCCAATAATCGCGTGAGGAAGGCAGCCTCCCCCTCTCTCTTCACTCGAGGACCGGCGCGTTCTCGGCGACCGCGGGCAGCGCCAGCCTCACCCTCCCGCCCGCCTTCTTCCTGCGGGACGACGACCCGCCCTTGATCGCCTAGCAGCACGCAGCACCGCGACTCATCCACCCCTCGCCTTCACACGTGGCGACGAACCGCCCTTGATCGCCGGAGGAGCTGCGCCCGACCCCTTCAGCGCAGGCGGCTGTGCCTTCCGGGGCGGTGGAGGTGGCGCCGCCGCCGCCCGCGGCGCTGAAGCTGCCCTCGGCGCCGCCGCTGCCCTCGGCGCCGCCGCTGCCCGCGGCGCCGCCGCTGCCCTCGGCGCCGAAGCCGCCCTCGGCGCTGAAGCCCCCCTCGGCGCCCTTGGCGCTGGATCCCCCTTGCGCGCCGGTGGCGGCGGCGGTGCGGCAGCCTTCCGCGGAGAGGCGGGTGGTGCGGCGCCCTTCGGCACGCCCTTCCGCGGCGACGGCTGCGACGCCGCGCCCTTCCGGGAGGACGGCGGCGGCGCGCCCTTCCGCTGTGGGCGCGCTGGCGCCGCCTTTGCAGCCGCCGCCGCGGAGGGCGGCGCGGAGGGCGGCGCAGCAGCAAGCGGCTCGGATGCCGCTCTCGCCGCCGCCTTCGCCGCCGCCTTTGCCGCCGCCTTTGCCGCCGCCTTCGCCGCCGCCTTTGCCGCCGCCTTCGCCGCCGCTGCCTCGCTGGTCCCTACCGCGGGCGGGTCGTCGGGCATTTGCCTGCAGCGCGAGCACACCAGAGTAATCTCGGGTGATCTCGGGTGATCTCGGCTGAGTGGCGGAGGTCGAGCGCGGTGCAACATGCGACGCAGCCGAGGGGAGAGGTGTGTGTGATGCAGCACAAGATTGGTCTTGGCGGAGAGCGGGTTGTGTCTCAGCACCAGAGGTGGGAGATGGGAGGAGAGCGAGGCGTGATTCAGCACCAAAGTGGTGTTGGAGTGGATGCGCACGTCGGCCTCAGCGCTGGCTGGAGCCGTCGGCGGTCTCCCGCACCTCTACTGCCGAGGGCCTCCCGGACAGGGGGTAGCGTGGGCAGGTATGGGGAGATACGGGGAGATCTGCCGCATCTCTAGCCGGGAGAGCCTCTTTCGCGGAAAAAGCCGGCTCAGCGCGGCGAGGGGCTCCTCGTCGAAAGGCTCGCGCGCCTGCTCCACGGGCGTGGCGGCGTGAGCGGGGCGCCGTCCACACCACGCCCTCCTCGCGCCGCCCGCCGCGCAGTCTCGCGCACCGGAGGATGACGCGGGCCAGCCCCGAGCGCAGCCTCGATCCTGCGCCGCGCACGGGTGGCCTTTGGCGGCGGCGCTCCCGCCGCGAGGTGTCGGGCGCAAGGCTGGGCGGGGCGCAAGAGTGGCGGTGGGGGCGGTGCGCAGTGTGGGCGGGCGGTGCCGGTGCACGGGGCGCGCGCCGGAACTGGTGGTCGCGAGGCGTCATAAGGTCGATCCGTGCCGGAGGAACAAACGCGAGCCCCGCCTTTGCCAGCCGCTTGTTGACGAGCGTCACACGCTGTGTCGCGTGGGACGACGCGTCAGAAGGGCGCCCCGTCGGGGCCGAACCACAGGCGCAGCCGCGCACCTCTGGTCCTTTGAGGCCGACGAATCTGTCGCTTACGACCACGAGCCGGAAATCATCGCCGCGGTAGTCGCCCTCATGGGTGAGCTCCATGTGCGCGGGTGCAAGCAGCTCGGCGAGCACTGCCCACGTTGTGCTCGGCCCGGCTGCGCTCGTCCCTGCCTCGCAGGTTGGTCCTTCCAGCCCCAGAGTCGGCATATTCGGCGCATCTGGTTTGTTGTTTTCTTAGGGGACGGGGCAGCTCGTGTATCCTGAAACAGCAGGAAAAAAGAATTGGCGCAGCATTACAAAAATGGACCACAGCACTGACAACGAGATTGTTGCACTCCACCACTCCAATCAACATGCTCATTGTTTGTGCTTTGTCTGAGCAGAAGTACGACTCACACCGCACGGCGTGACGGCGATAGAGACGCACCACAATCCTATTGTGTTTCGTATTATCACTTCCTTTTTTCTGTTTTTTTGCGCAGCAAGAGCGCACGCGAGTGTTGACGTCCCTCCTGGCAATAGTGGCCCACCCCAAGCACAAGCCCCTCCTTACTCGCCGCGTCCAGCCTAGCCCTTCGCGTCGCGCCTCTCTCCCGGCCTCTCCCCTCATGTGTTGATCAGTGAGGACCTCTGCATTGGAGGACCTTCGCAGCTCCAGAGCTCCACCCCGTGAGGACCTCTGTCTCCGTGAGGACCTCCGTGACACACCGTTGACCTTGTGAGAGTGATACCCTCCAGCGGTTTCCTGCAGGGGTGTGTTGGCTTGTCGCCGTGAATCAACACACTGTGCAAACCCATGTCCTCACTGTAACAGAGAGGTCCTGCTCCTCACGACACGGAGAAAGTCCTCATCCGAGAACGTGAGGACCTTTCGCTTTCCTCCTGGCCGCAGAGCCTGGCTGCCCACAGGGTGGGTGCTCTTGATATAAGATCCTTTTTCCGCGGCCGCCGCTGCACCATGCGCGACCCCACGTGGAATTCCCCAGGCATGGGCCATGGTCGAGGGCCATGGGAGCCCCGGCAGACCTGTGGGAGGTGGAGAAGCAGAACGTACGAGAAGATAGTAGGTCATGAGAGATGAGAGTATGCATGTCTTCATCTTTTACTATCTCGATGTAACAGAGAGGTCCTCCTCCTCACGACACGGAGAAAGGTCCTCATCCGAGAACGTGAGGTCAGGACCTCTTCTCCTGGCCGCAGAGCCTGGCTGCCTGCAGGGTGGGTGCTTGACCTCTTTTCCGCGCCGCTGCATGCGCGACCCCACGCGTGGAATTCCCCAGGCATGGGCCATGGCAGCCGGCAGACCTGTGGGAGGTGGAGAAGCAGAACGTACGAAAATGTGAAGACTGGAGAAGATAGGAAATGCGTTCAAGGTGCACTTTGAAGAAGTGTATCGAGAAGTTGAAATTGGCGCAGATATATCTGTTACTATCTCGCTGTATTCTTTACTATCTCGCTGTATCTCCCCATGTCAGACCCATGAAACACCCCAACACACCCAGGAGTGAGTGAGTGAGTATTCTTGATACGAAACCCGACGCGACAAAATTTTCTTTTTGTAAAATTCTTCTCGTCTCGCGCGCTGTATACACACATATACACGTATATGCTGCTCGGCAACGCGTACGACGACAGCGAGGACGAAGAGACCGCTCCCCAAGCCGTCCCGCTGGCGCTGCAGCCGGCGAGTCGCGAGGATGTTGAGCAGTCCGCCGAGAGCGAAGACGAGGCGAGCGAAGGAGAGGAGGCGAGCGGTGTGGTGCCCGTGGCCCTGAGCGCGGCGGCGGACGCGGCGGATGACGAGGACGAGGAGGAGGAGGAAGCCGCACGGCAGGCGGCGGCGGAGGCAGCGGCCAGAGCTGCGGCGGCGGAGGCGGCCAGAGTGGCGGAGCTGCCACCGCCCGACTTCACGGGGTGGGTGCCTGCTGGCGGCGGCGCGCCCTCGGCGCGCACGGCGCCTCTGGTGGGTGGGCGCTCGAAGAAACGGAAAGGGCCGGGCGGCGGCGCGAGCCAGATCAGCAGCGGCTTCAAGGCGGCGGGGCGCGGCACGCCGATTCATTGCCACAAGCTGCCTCCAGTGACGGTGAGTGACGGATGTAGGCGGCAGTGACGCGGCACGACGCGCTGGAGGCGCAGAAAGAGGCGAAGGGCGGCGGCGCGCGCTCGAGGGAGTGAGTACGGGGTCGTGAGTGAGAGGCCTTTCCTCGATGGGAGCAGGCACGGTCGGTAGATGCAGAGGCGAAGACCAGTCACAACGGGCGCCTGGCGCGGCTTGCGTGGGCGCCGACAGGGGGCTCACTGGGTCCCGGACTCTCGGACAATCTCGGACAATCTCGGACAATCTCGGACAATCTCGGACAATCTCGGACAATCTCGGGTCATATGGGGCGCCCACCCGGCACGCTGTCGCCGGCCGTGGCACTGACACTCTGAGCACCGCCATTAGTGAGCGTATCGCCACCGGAGGCCCTTGAATTAAAGAGTAAGAATGAGTCACACGGCGCTGCAGGCGGAGCTGGAGCTCGAGCTGGAGGAGCGGAAGAAGAATAACGGCCTCTCCGCCGCCTACGACTCCGTCTTCCGCTCCGGACCGAGATCACGCCGAGATCACGCCGAGATCACGCCGAGATCACGCCGAGATCACGCGAGGTCACACGATATCACCCGAGATCCCATCTTCCACGGCGGCGGGCAGCGTGACCCCTCACGCGCCGGCCCGTGAATCCCCTCATCCCCAAGGCCTCCAGGGCTCGCACCTCAACCTCTCATAGACCAGCGCACAGCGCCATGGCACGTCTTTCCCTCTCAGTGACAAGGTCCGTGAACAGGGGACGATCCCGACGACACGCGGCGGACCAAGCTGACCAAGCGCGCGAGCCTAGACGCCGAATGTGTAGTCATGTGCCCCAACCAGCGCTCGAGAGGGCCACGCGTTCAGCTGTATGCAGCTGTATTCCGCTGTATTCCGATTCGTTGTCTTCACGCTCTGAAGACACAGCGCAGTACCGTCTCCCGCCCTCATGTCGGCGTACTCACACGCGCAGGCGCGGGACGGTGCGCACGATGAGCAAGCGCGAGGTGGGCGGCGTAGTGGAGAGGCGGGCCGAGAGGCGGCGGTGGGGGAGAGGCAGCCGAGAGATAGCCGAGAGATAGCCGAGAGATAGCCGAGAGATAGCCGAGAGATAGCCGAGAGGCAGCCGAGAGGCAGCCGAGAGGCAGCCGAGGGACAGCCGACAGATCTAGCCGAGAGGCGGTGGCCAGGGAGGACGGTGGAGGACGGGGCGGCGCGGGCGTCTCTTCACACCGTCTCTTCACACCGTCTCTTCACACCCTCACTTCAGACCGCCTCTTCACGCCGTCTCTTCACGCCGCAGGCGGCAGAGGAGGACCGGCTGATGGCGACGCTGAGGTGACAGTACGGTGGCGATGGACGATGCAGCACGCTCGCCCAGAAACAAATAAATGAATGGTCAAACTCTGAGACTAGATGGAATTCTAAGGGACATGTCTGATGTGCCCTGCAGCATTCGCTCGCCCATGCGACCAACAACAAACTATACCTTCGCTTGGTTCCGGCTTCCGCAGCGGTCTGACAGCTCGTGCGTGGCAGTGTGGCAGGGAGCTGCGTGCGGGTGCACCACGCTTGTGGCCAAAGTCGAGCGCGTGACAGAGAGAGCGCAGCACGCGCGACAGAGATCAGTCTGATCAGAGTCTGCCGCTGACTGGCTGGGTTTAAATAAATTTTGATCGTTCGGCGAGGTGCGGCACGGTGCACGGTGACCGCGCCCGCTCGTGTCTGTCGGCGTCGTTAGTTATCTCGACACAGAACGCATGTGTGTAGAGGTAAGGTGATGTGTGTGTCACGTATATACATGAGTTGTGACACACATCATGTGTGTCACAACTCAACTCTCTCTCTCAGAGTTGGTCTCTCAATCACGAGGTCGTTCAAAAAGCACGGCTTGTTGTGAACAAATAGAAATACAACGCATGGGGACAACTCTATAAAGTATAATAGTGGTGCGAGCCACACGGCCACATGTGCATGCACACGCGCTCTAGACGCACATACGTGTACGAGTCATACGGGTACGGCTCTGCTACATTGTCCTAATGCCGCGCGTCGTGTAAATAAAGTAGACCGTCTACGACCGCGCCAGCTCTGCGCTTCTGCTCCCGAATCGGGGCATCGCGCACAGGGGCACGCCGATGCGAGAGTGCCGAGTCTGTTCAGACCTTTGCACTGGCGTGGTGCAGCGGTAGCAGGCCGGTTGACCGGTGGCGGTGGCGGATGCGAAACACAATCACAGCTTGCAGCCGAGCACGCGATGCACCTCCATGACGAACCGGTCGACGGGGTGCATCGTCAGCTCGGCAGGAATGACGGACTGCCTACGTACATCCTCCGCAGGCGCAGGGTACAAAGCGCCTCCAAACCCGAGTGGCTGGCTCAACGCGCTGCGCTCGGTCGCCGAAGTCTCCTCGAGCGCTGCTGCGGCGGCGGGCGTTGCCGCGATCGGCTGCTGCGGCTGCTGCGGCTGCGGTTGCGCCTCCACCGCGGCGGCGGAGGGCGGCAGACCCTTCCACAAGCTGATTCCGAGGAGGACCAGGGCGATCGTCCACGATGTCACGAGGCTGAAGAACATCACGACCACGCTAAACACGGCATACACGTTGGCCTTGAGACACATTACGACCCTTGCTGTCGCGGATGTTGCACTCAGTATGGCGAGAGTGGTGACAACTGCCGAGGAGGGAGACTTGGGGCGCATCGCCTTCCTCGCCGGCGGGTATTTTTCGACTGGATTCGAACTCTGTGTACTTGGGGTAGAATTTCGCGGGAAGAATGAGGCACGGCTGGCACCCGTGGCGCGGGGCTCGTCTTCGGAAAGACCAGGATCGCTCTACTGGCAAACTTCTGGCTGACACGCGCGCCCCGTCGAGCCTTCGGCGGGCGCGCTGCGGTCGCACGCCTACCCAAGTCATATGCCACGGCGTGCGATCTAGATTCAGCACACGCGCCTCTGCTCGCAACCACTCATCCAATGAACTGTCGTCACCCATGAGTGCGAGTTAGGGCTAGCGGCTGGCCAATAGCCTGTGACGAGGGCGTCCATAGACACCTCACAAGACCCCACACACGCGACACGGTCTCGTCCATGCCTTGCGGCTGGCGACGAGATTGCTAGAGGCGGAGCAAGCGTGCCTGCTCTAGTCTCACACGTTCGCCCTGTCGCCTGTCTGTGTTGTTGTGCTGTTGTTTGTCTCTTGGCACCTTGGAGTGCTGGGGGGGGCGACAGGGGGGACGTGGCCTGAGTGATGTGTACGCCCACTCAGGGTGTGTGGCAGCCCGCTGGCTGTGTGTCTTGTGAGCTTGTTTGTGTCTGTGTGTCGCTCGTGCGTGTCGTCATCATCTGTCTAGCGTCCACCCATACCGCGTCGGTGTCCAGTCCGAGCCTGACTGTTCTTCACCTTCCTACATCGACCTCGGGGCACGGGTACGTCGACCGAGGCGAGGCGGCGGCGCGGCGTGGCGGCGGGCGACGCAGTGGGGGGCGGGGGGGGGTCTTCTCCCCACCGGTCCTCATTTGTGGTAAAGGCAGTCTCCTCGGCCAAGAGTAAGGCGGAGCATTTATCTTAGATACTCGTTCTGTTGCCATCCCAAACTGTCACTCCCCTGCCTCCCGCTGTGATTCTGTGTGAGCTCTGTGTCTTGATTTTTTTAGAGAGATTTTTAGAAGCCAACAAGAAATGTGTCACACACAGTGATTTGGGCTCGGCAGCTTGTCGACTACCAGCCGGAGCCGGAGTCGGAACCCTCTTCTCTTGATTTGCCAACAACAAACCTAAAACTTTCTCCCGGCCGGGGTGGGGCGCGCGGGGGGGGCGGCGGGTGTGCGGGATGTCTGTGGGCCCGAGAGCGATGTGCGTTGTCCGAATTCCTTTTGTCATCGTCGATGTATGTAGGAAGGTGAAGAACAGCCAGGCTCGGACTGGACACCAACGCGGTATGGGTGGACGCTGGACAGATGCTGACGACACGCACGAGCGACACACAGACACAAACAGGCTCACAAGACACACAGCCAGCTGGCTGCCACACACCCTGAGTTGGCGTACACATAACTCAAGGCCACATCACTCCCTTGTCGCCCCCCCCAGCACTCCAAGGTGCCAAGAGAACAAACAAGGGCACAACAACACAACAGGCGGACAGGAAGTAACATGTGAGGCTTGAGCAGGCTTGCTCCGCCTCTAGCAATCTCGCCGTCAGCCGCAAGGCATGCGGACGCACCAAATGCCGTCGCCGCGTCCATGACGTCCTGAGGAACATAATCCGAGTCGATCGACTTCTCGATCGCGACGACTTCGATCGCGGTGCTGTACGAAACGTCCACCTCGTAGCTGTCGCCGCAGCACACGTACCCGAGTTCGCAGACCTTCTCTTTGAGCGAGTGCTCCGTGTACGCGATCTCGCAAGAACATGTCTGCACTTCAGCGAGGGCCTTGGCCGAGCTTGTGACAAGAACATGCCCAGCACAGACCGAACCTGGGGAGAAGGCCGAAGCAAATCCGAGGCCGGAAACCAACAGCGTGCAAAGGGCGCGCTTCGACATTGCCGGAGCTTGACACAGCTAACGAGTTTTGGATTTGTTTATTTCATATCGGCAAACTCGGGAAAGTAAGCGCCCGCGCGTGTGCCCCCCCCCCCCCCCACGCGGGCCCGCCGCAGGCGACGCGGGCGGCGAGCCGAAAATCGAAAAAAGAAAACGCGCCCGCGCAGTTGTTAGCGCGCTAGTCCGGCTTTTCGTGTATTTCTTTTTTGAAAATTAGCAGTCATGGAGATGGGCAAAGATCGAAACACAGCCGCGAGCGCTCTCTATTTTTTTTCTACACAATCAAGAGGCAGGCACACAATCAAGAAGGGGGCCAGCATGCTTGCGTTAGTCCCGCCGCATCGCCCCGCCCGCAAACCGCATGCTGCATGCCGCCCGCCGCATGCTTCACGCCTGGATCCCCGCGACGCCCATTGCTCCACGGAACCCGCTCCGCCCGCACCCCTCCCGCCATGCGAAGCGCTTCGCTCGCCGCCCGCTGCGCCCCCCTCGGCCACCGCCTGACCCCTCCCGCTCGCAGGTGGCCACCTCCATCGAGAGAAAGCAGCACTTGATGGCCCAAACACGCTGCTGCAATCAGCCGAGGGAGATTGAGCCCACGCCGCCAAGACACGATGGCCACCCACGCCACGCCGCGCTAAGCCCGATGGCCTTGCTTCCCGCAGGCGCAGAGCTACCGTGTCATGCTGCGACTTCTCGTCCTCCTCTCGACTTCACTCGTCGTCCACGGCTTCGCCCCGTCTGCCCTCATCGAACTCGATAGCATCAACACGGCTGGCGAGGGAAAACCTTGCACCGACGGCTTACCCAACAACCCAAGTCCTTGCGACAAGACCAAAAAACTCATCTGCTGCCAGTCTGGGAAGACGTGCGCGGAGAAAGACATGCCAAATTCCGGTGCCAATTTCTGCTGCCACGCGGGAGACACGGTGCAACCGTTTTACCCCGTCTGCAAGGGCGGCCCCGGCCCCGACCCTTCACCGTCGCCGTCGCCGTCCCCGTCCCCGAGTCCATCGCCGAGTCCCGACCCGCCCAGCCCCGATCCGCCATCGGGCCATTTCACTCCCGGCTGCCCAGGCGACTCGGGCGGCATCTCTCACGACGGTGGCGACGCGTACGCCTTTTCCCAGACCCCATCGTCGGGAAGCTGGCAGTGCAGGCCAGAAAATCCGCCCGGCAGCGGCACCCACCTCCCAGCGGCGTACAACAACTTCAAGAATGGTCAGTACATCAACCTTCCCGACTACGGCACTGTCATGAAGACCTATGGCCACCGCATCGTCGGTGAGTGCGGCACCTGTTATCTCATCAAGCCGATCTCGACGCCAGACGCCAACAACCAGTGCGGCAACTTCGGTACCTGCAAGATCACGATCACATCGCCCGACTACATCCTGATGATGGGCGTTGGTCCTGCAAACAACAACCCAGAGATTGGAAATGCCACGTTCAAGAAGGGCCTCTCCTTCTACATCCATGACGGCGGATGCAACGATCTGCAGGACGGCAAGTGGCCTTTTGAGTACAAGATCCTGACCGGCCACCCCGGAATCGGGTGCCCTTGATGCCTGCCAGCCGCAAGGGCTGCCGCTGAGCGTGACGCAGGAACCCCGGCAGTCCTCTACTTGCGGGGGACCATCCCTGCGTGAATAAAGTGGATGGATGTACGGCTCTAGGAGAGCGTGGGGCCTGGCGGGAACCTTGAAGCCAAGGGGAGTCCAGAGACGGAGCCTTCGTTGCGGTGCGGGTCCGCAGGTGTGTAGAGCCCGACGTGTCGGCCAAAGTCAGTGGTGGTGACTAAATGCGAGGAGTGTCTGGTTGTGCAGTCTAGCGTGCGTGCAGAGCGCGGTGGCTCGGAGCGTGAGCGCTCTCGAGCCTGGCGCTCGGCCTGTGGGATCTCTTGAGTCTTGTCATGTGGTTTGTGCCTGTGTTACTAGTAGTGCCAGCAGTCATCTTTCTCACAGGTGGACTGTGTTTCTCCTCGGGGGTTCTGGGGACTCTTGACAGAGGCGTGCTAAAAGAAAGAAAGAAAGAAAACAGACAACCCAAGGGAGGGATGGGAGACTCTAAGCACTAAGGACGACGATAAATATTGAATATATTGCTGCAATAGTTAGGGGGGGGGTCGTCGTCTCGGTGTGCTTGATGGGGGGGGGGGGGGGGGGGCTCCCAAAATGTCTTTGGGCTTCGTCCTGTGAGTGAAAAAAAAATTTTTTTGAAACCAAAAAATTTAACACCCCCCCCCTTTTTTTTTTTTGGCGTGCCTTTGGGGAGGGGTCCAAAAAACCACCAAAACCTTTTTGTTTCGGCCCCAAAAGTTTCCCCCCCCTTTTCCCCCCGGGGGGGGGCCCCCCCCG